CAAAAGAGGCATAAAGAAATTACAAAAGGGACTCCAAATTACAAAAGGGACTCCAGAGCCTTGTGGGACTCCAACCAAGATAGTGAGGGGAGGAGGTGTCATTGGAAAAGGAGACACTGAATGAATGTTGGGAGAGATAGGAGAAGAACCACAAGAAACACGGTCACAGAGACCGAAGGCTTGAAGAGTTTGGAGAAGGAGAATACGATTAACTGTATCAAAGGCGGCAGAAAGGTCAAGAAGAATTCGTATACAGTAGCGGTCTTTGGATTTAGCCACGATTAAATAATTTGTAACTTTAGTCAGAGCAGTCTCAGAGTGGAGGGGGCGGAATCCAGATTGAAGAGGGTTGAGGAGAGAGTTGGAATTGAGGAATCAAACCAAACAAGCCAAGATTTGTGACCAAGTGGCAACTAAAAAGATATGCTATTTTAAAAATACATTGGGTTATCTACTTATTCAAATGGTGGGGGTAATTTTTATTCCTGGGCTGCCATATGGTCTCAAAGGAAACAGTCTCAGCAAACCAATCTGGCAAATTTCAATGTGAAATAACTGCAATGAGTAAGCCCTATATTTGACCATGTAGCTTTCCAAAAGGCACAGAAAACTTGTACATGTGTCGGAGGGAGAAGAGAGGCCCACTATTGTACTTGTGAGACATTGCTGAACAAAAAATGTGTGTTTTGCACAATAAATCCAAGTTGTTTATATAAACACTTTGGATTTAAAGAACTAAGGAGATAATGGGGTCAATATTGGTACATTGCTTCCAATTTTTCTGCTAATGTAATTATATCAACATTGTCAAAATATCCAATATGTGACACGTTTCTTCCACATACAATATTAAATGACAACAAAGGGGAAAAAAAAACAAAAAACAAAAACTCCTACAACCTACCATTTGTTAATGAGGATCTTCGAGAAACTGGTGTTTGTAAAGGTCCCGCCTAAACAAAAAAAGTAAAATATATTAAGGGATTGGTTTTGTGTACATACAATAAAATCAGGATACCCCAAAATCTGCCTTTAAC